CCAAGTTCAAAACATGCTGCTGTCCTGGAAAGAATAGATCTAGAAATAAAACATGAGAAAGCCTGGTTTGTCTGTCCGTCTCTGTTGTTACAGGCTTTTGAGAAAAACAACAAAGATGAGTAATGCTACTAACATGTTTGCAACATCTTTTGAATATGTTTGCAACATTTTCTCATACACGGAGTGCATGAATCTGCCCAGCAAGAACCAAATTAAATCCAATTTTGCTTTGCATTATTCCTAGGAAGTGATCACAGTACAACAAATTACAGACTCTTCCGACCCTTGACAGAATTGAACTATTTACCTGAAAGCTACAAGGCTCAACTTACTCCCCTATACTATATTGTGCAATTTTCATCCAGCTGTAGGAAGAGAGTAGCCAGCTGTATTTTGGAAGGTCAGGGAGAGGAATTGTGAGAGTCAAATGGGAAAGAAGAGCCTACTGCCAGAATAATATTGTCCATAAAGGTTTCCTGTTTGTAGCATTGACTTCCTTACCGGCAGAGCATTGCTCCTCTTGTAGGTACATGAGTCGGAGGGAAAATGTACATATATTTTATTTATTTTCAGGAATGGTGGATAATTACAGAAGCAGAAAATTCAAACTAGAAATAAGCTGACCAAAACTAGTATATGAACTGATTCACACAATTTACTTTTCATGACTTAAAAGAAATAGTGACTGACAGTTATCAAAACTATTACCTGTCAAAAAACTTAATAATATGATTTAATGATTTGGGGGGGGAGGGAGGCAGCGAAAAGGAACTCTTGTTTTTTAAGAGGGGGTTTTGATTTTTTTTTTTGTTTTTTGTTTGTTTTGTTGTTTGGTTTTGGTTTTGTTTTTGTTTTTAATAAATGTTAACATAGTTTGTATCACTTCAAAATTTTCTCAAACTCTGAATTTTTCTACTAGCAATTACACTTCAGGTAATCAGTTAAACAGAACTGTAATTAATATTATGGAATCCCTTGCTAAATAAATCAATTTCATTAAGAGAATGTGTTTTACACTTTCTTTACTGCTTTACTCAGATACTCTAAATTTGAAGTCTCTGTCAAACAAGGCATCTGTGGTTCCAGAAATGGCCATTTAACAGCTACAATTTTCCCACTAGCCAAGTGAGGGACGTTAAAGAGATGCTGTAAGTTGCAAATGAATCAAGGATAAATTCTCACTTCCTTCTTTAAGTCCACACAGGCATCTTGCAGAGTGCAGGAATCACAGATTTCACCCTTTGCCTTCACATGCTTAATAATCCTGCCATTAGCGTGGTGAAGGCCATGTTTATTCAGTCATTGTTATGGCTATGGATGGATAAGGGAATTGTGGTCAGGGGACCCGCAAACCTCTGTCCGCACCCTGCATGCCTCCCCAACCTGCCTATACTCACTACTGATCACTCCTGCACCTCAGTAAATCAGCTGGAGGCAAGATGAGCACTGTGTATAATTCTAGTACATGCCTTGTTCTGTAGAGTTTTACATCAAACACAGTTCTCTCCATCAGTTTTTAAGCAGAAGCTAAAAACCTCAACACTATCTTCCCTTATTAGTGTCAGGCCCTTTTACCTTCAGCTTAAATAACACATTACTAACACCCTGAATGACTGTAGATAAACATAATGGCTTTCTTCTAAAAACTACATAAAAGTTACATCAATACCAAGGAAAGTATCTATAACCAGGCGCAGTTAATAGTATCCAAGCTTTACTTTGCAAAGTGCAAAATAAACCAACACTGTTCTTCATTGCCTAAAATGTGAGATGTAAGTTTAGAAATGTCCTTAGACAGGCATTAAGAGGAGTTATTTTAGTGTCTTCTTTAAAAATAAACAAACAGAATAGCCACAGCAACAAGGAAAACATTTTGTGTATCTGAAGAGACCCTCCTCTGAAAATGAAGAGGGAGATTTCAAGTGAATGTGATAAACTCCCACAAACTAGGTATGTACTTTCCTCTGAGTTTACAACTAAGGAAACGAATGCAAAAAGAATGAAGTGACTTGCCTAAAAAAACACATTGCAAGTTTGTATTCCTTGCTTTGATGCTATCTCAAGAGTGAGGCTTGCATTCATTAACAAGTCTCTCAAACATCAATCCTACCCTTACTGTTCTGTAAAACAAAGTTGAAGAAAGTAGGTGTCTTTGAACTAACTGTGCTAAATATTTGCCCTACATTTTAGACATGCAGCTCAAAATGAACATGTTTTCCTCACCTCTTTCTTCTCTCCCTTCCTTATCTATTTACAGTAATTTTTATGCATTGCAAGCCATAAAAATACATTACTAAACAACCATGCAGATTAGGTCTGCATACGAGTAAAGAAAGGGGGAGGAAGACCCAAATTCTTTTCCTGAAGCCAGAGCCATTTCTAGAGAGAAATGGGGTCTTGGGGTAAGTTTGCCCTCATATTACTCCTTCCTCCTCTGACCAGGTCCTCCAACAGCCAAAATACTGCTCCTTCACCCCCATCACAACCTTCTGCCCACCACTGCTGCCTTCCTCCCCCATCCCTACTGCGGCTGCCGCCCGTCCTGGGCAGGGAAATGGGACCGGGAAGCGGGAGAAGCTGCAGCCGTCCCTGAGCCCAAGTGATCTGCAGTTATTTTTACAGGAGTTCAGGCTTTGTATCCTGATCCTTCCAAACACAATACATACAGGCAGTCTCTTTATCATTTCTTCAGTTCGAGACCATGAGAAAATTCCATCATGTCTTTACTCGTAAAACTACACTTAATCCTTTCTTCTATGTCCAGAACAGAAAACCTTACAGCACACAGACGTGACTGTTTCAAGTGCTCACCAGCCATTTCTGTATTTCACTTTACCCTATATCTAAATCACATTTTCCTTCACATTTCCACCACTTGCTTGCTCTGTTTGGTTCTTCTTTATGCCTGCCCCACTCCCAACTTCACATCATCTTTCATACTACCTATTATATTTGCAAGAGTTTTTCACTTCCCTGTAAAGCAATTTTCTTTTCCTTTCAATCTCAAAACACTCACTGGCATCATTCATCCATATTTTTTTCCTCATGGGTCATGCATGTCTGTGTGAAATAACCGATCATCTCAAGGCAGTACTCAGAGGCCTGATTCTCTTGTCCTTTCTCATGTCACCTAATGTAGTCTCACTGAAGGCTAACTCATAAAAGGAAGGGCTTCCAACTTCAGCCACTTTCTTTTATAAACACAGAATAATACAAATTTACAACAGCTCTTGCACTCACTATCTACCATGAGATGACAGTTAGGAAAGTGATCTCATCAGTAACACATTCTAGAACACAATATTTAAGGATTAACTAAGATATTAAAACCTATGTACAGCATAAATACATACAGCTTATTTCCATCATGTATAATGTGGAGTTACAGAATCAACATGGGTGACAGCTCTCAGAAATAAGCTACTCTGTTCAAACTATTCAGAAAGTGCTGCTACTTCTACAGCTCCCACATGCATGCTACTATCATGAATGCTGTAAAGCAAAGCCCAGGGATATTGGTAGGAAGAGACAGCTTGCTTAATAAATTGGTTAGATTATAAACTTTGAAATATATTGCTGTATGTTTTCTTTCTAAAAATACTTACAGTGAAGTATTTATTAAGTTTAGGCAAAATGCATCTGCTATTAGAGTACAACGGCCATACATAGTCACAGTTTTCTCTCCTGAAGAGCTCTTGAGAGTATGGCATCACCACACAATGCATAACCCACAAGTGCAACTCATCGTGCCCTGAAAAACTTCTCCCATGATCTCAAGGTCCACACATATTAGAGTTTTATGCTAACCTTTCTTGCACCACACTGCAAAGAAAATCATGTAGAATTTATCATCTTCATTTCTTCCAAGAGAAGAGGCAGCTATGTTTGATGCAGTTGCTGTCATGAAGCAATTTAATATGAACCTGACTCCAGCTGTTCAGATAGCAGTAGAAAGCCAGACCGCTACTAAAATCTGGAGGAATAAGAGATCCACGAAACAATTTTCAATGAATTATGAGATTATGAATGCTCGTAATTTTGCTGGTAGAAAGCAGTAACTAGAATAAAAATATGGTAGTCTGAATTTAAAGTTTACCATGAAGTACTCTTTGTAACATTTAGGATACCAGATTTATTTCCCCCCAAATAACAGTAAACACTGGCAAATTGTATAATTCCACATACTGTGCAGGCCAATTTCCAAACCCCTCCTCTGAGGACACTGGCAACTCCTCACCTCCTTTTTTTATGACCTGTCACTGCAGCCCAGCAGCTCCCCTGTCACGCTACCACCCAGGTGACGCCACCGTGCCCATAAACCCTGCCTTAAGGAAAAAAAAAAAAAATAAAAAAAAAAAAAATCACAGACAGAAAACCCGGTAACTGCAGGCCAACTACCTGAACTCCACAGCGGCACCTGACACCCAAAGCTGGCCTCCGCTGGTGCGGAGCTGCCGGGCGGGGGAGGGAGCAGAGCGGGGCGCGGAAGGACACCTGCCCCGGCCGCACCGCGCAGCGCCGCGCGGCACTGCGCGCCTCCGGGTGGCACACAGACATCTATAGCCCGGTGTGCGTTTACGTTAGCAGAGGCGCAGCAGAGACGTGCAGCCCTGGGTGATCGCTTGGGCTGCCCGATCCGCGTTTGCGGCGGATACAGGCACGTACCTACAGTTCACGCGTATATGTATGTACACACGCGCAGGCACGCGTGTCTGCGCATATTCCCGCGGAGGCGGTGCAGAAGTTCCTCACAGAGGCACCGCGGCGCCGAGGGGCGTCCCGCTGTATAACGGGGGAGGCGAAGGGGGGGTGAAGTTTCCTCCCTCCTCCTCCTCCTCCTCTCGCCGAGTTCCGCCGCGGAGCCCGGCGGCCTCGGGCGGCGGAGGCGCCGCCGGCAGCCCCGGGCAGGCCCGCTCCCGGCGCTGCCTTCCCCGCGCCGGCCTCCGCCTCCGGCCCGCCGGGACCCCGCCGCTCGCCGGGCGGGCGGCCCCCACCCTTACCGTTGCAGAACTGGAGCAGCGAGGAGGTGTCGTAGAGGCTGCTGTAGCTGGAGAAGCCGTCCTCCATCCTGCCGCTGCGCTCCTCGGCCTCCCCTCGGCTGTCCCGGAGGCCGCCCGCTGCCTCCTCCTCGCCTACACGCCGAAGGAGCGGAGGCGGCTGGGGCCGCGGCGGCCTGCTGCCTGCCTCACTCAGTTGCCATGGCAACCCATTCACTCGGCTGGGGCTGGGGCGGCGGCCGCGCCGCGGCTGAGGCGAGGGGGGGAGACCTGAGGGGCGGAGCGGGGCGCCGTGACGGCGGCGGGAGAGGAGGCGGGGGGGGGCGGTCGGGACGATCCCGGTGCCGCGGCCGGGCACGGCTGGCTGGATCTCGCGGGAAGGCGAGCCGCTGGGCGGGCGGGCGGACGGGAGGTGAGGGACGGGAGGGCGCAGCCGTGAGGCCGGGGGCACCGCTCCCTCGGGCGGGGAGAGCGGGGGGTGACCCCGCGGCGGGAGGGCGAGCGGGGAGCCACGTCTTTCCGCAGGCGCCGCCGCCCCCGAAACGCCCGGCCCCGGGGTGTGCCGCGGCGAGCGGCGCTGCCAGCCCCGCCCGGCCGCCGGAGCAGCGCCGCCCCCCTGTCCCCGCGGGGGGCAATGCCCGCCGGGCCGCGGGCCGGAGCCAGCCGGGGGGCTCGGCGCGGAGCTCCGCGGAGCGGCGGGCAGGAGTTCCGCGGGGAGTGCCGGGGCGGGCAGCGCGCCGCGCACAGCCTCAGCATCCCTCCGGGCGGCCGCGGCGCTCCCCCCGCCGCCCGGCTATCGGCGCTCCTCCCGCTGCCTCCACCGAAGCAGCAGGCTGCGTGGAATTGCGCCCCACGGCCTCCACTGGTTCCAGTGGCCATTCGGCTGGCTACAGGATGGGGGTGTCAAGATAATGTTGTACTTGATACACTCTTACAAAAAAAAAAAAAAAAGTATATATACATAGTGTAATTTGTTATGCCATTTTATACAGTTTTAACTATTTAGTTTGAAAAGTATTATATACTTTTCCCAGATAATAAATTTCAGCCAGTTTTAATATTTTTATCTCACTATGTTTACAATGTCCATTCATGGTGAGATGAGGGTGGTGGTGCAAAGCTGGTGGCTAGTAACATCATAAAGTTGTTTTATACCTTAGACCCATTTCTGTGCTAGGGATAAGTGTCCAGTGTCTGAAAAGCGTTTTTGTTTCAAGCTCCTCAAGGTACCAAGAGGAATAGTGCATTGTGTACCTATAGCACCTTTCATCTTGAAAAATGCCGAAGCACTTAGCAAAGCACACCTTCAGGTCTCAATCCTTTGCGGGGCAGTTCCATCATGTGGATCCATTTGCAGGAGTTCACTATATATGAATCTTTTCACCAACCACTAAACCATGGTAGTGCTAACACAAAAATATGCTATAAAATTAGTCAGAGATATCAGGTTCGTATTGAAGCAGAGTTAAAAGTGCTCCCTCCTGAATTAGCAGTGCCAATAGCGGTAGAGTTGAAGTCATCTCCAACACAAGTACTTACCCAGCTTGATGGTGCTTAACTTGTATCTGACAAAAAAACAATTGCATTTTATAGCTGTGGGCTATAAAGTAACAGAAATTTGTGGTAGGTTAGTTATATATATATTAAAAAAAAAAAAAAAAAAAAAAAGCATGGAAGAGAAAATGAAAATTACTTCAAAAATTCTAGACAATGGATTTTCTTAATGTTTTAAATGAGCCATGGCTCTTTCCCATCTTTAAAATTAACACATAGCCCTTAGGATTTCTCATTACTTTTACATTCATAAGTTATCAAACTTTTTGAAGATGCCATATCATTCTAAAATATCGTACACATGAAAACAGATATAAGCATGGGATTTTTGGCAGAGAAGTTACAATAATAGAGCAACAAAGCTTATGTATAATACAAGTTTTGATTAAGAATTAACACTGTTGCCATGAGTAGGGCATTCTTTTTGAGGTTGAGAACTGTTTTAATATACTAATTTTCCACCAGCTAGACAGTTTCAGCACAAGTAATGTGCTTGCCATAATATGTCAATGTTAGTCTAGCCTATTCTCCCTTCAGATGTGCAAGTTTTGGCAAATAAATCTATGAAATCTATGCTATTTAGAAGTAATCTGTACTAGAAAATGTGTTGTCATTGAGACTGCTACAAAGATAAGGGAAGTAAATGCCCAATAACTTTTGCATCTGCAGAAGAAAGGACAAAAAGGGGCAATGCAGCTCCATTTCAGAGAGCAGAAATTAAAAGTCACTTAGAAACTTTAAACCTGATCTGAACACAGCATCGTTAAAGGAAGATATGACATCTAAAACCTTACAATAGATTACCCACTGAAATTAGTTGTGAAGGTGTCAGTGAAGCCTATCAGCTCACTGCTCTGCAAATCAGCTCAGTGACGTGACAGAAAATGATCTCAGCTCCAGTCTCCAAATGCTGTTATGATGCCATTATATTCTGAAGGCAAGAGTTAGAAAAGGAAAACAGTTTCATAATTGAATTGCAATGATTTTGAGACCTGTTACAACCTTATTACATTAAAGTGCACCACAAGGTGAAAAATGAAAAAGAAATTCTGTCTGGCTGCAGGAACAATGGGACAATGGATCTGAAGGATGCACTAACGTGTCTCTGGGAACTCTACTGGTACACTGAAACAATGAAAACACTTTATTGTCCATTTTCCAGTAAACTATAGCTTTAATAATTTGTACAGATCAAAGCTAGTGCATCGAAGAAGGAGAAATCACATAGATGGGAACGTGACATCCTGAGCAATGTGGTGGGACTAACGTATCTGGAGGGGAGTTGCTGCTCTATGTTTGTGCACGCTCACTGCTGGCGGGGCGGTGTCAGAAGCTCTGTATGATGTTACATTTTTGAAAGCTGTATTTTGTAACTAGTGATTTAAGTTTCATTGGTATTGAGTAATGTAATAAAAATGACTATTTGTTAAGTGAGAACAAAAGAGTTTTTACCCATCCCTAGCTGAATTTTCAGGAGTTAATACTCCAATTTTAGGACAAAGAAGCCTTGCTTTCACTCCCTGTTAACGGGCTATAGTAAAATCATTTTGATGTTTTATGTATTCCTGTTGCTTTTTTTTTTATTATTATTATTTTATTTCTGTTTCTATTGCATTGCTAATAAATACAAAAATAGACTGCAGCAGGTTCATATCAGAAGTATTTCAGTTCATAGCTCTCAACACTATAGAATTGTATTGTATTATGATTTTGTAGCTAACAATACTTTTGTGTCAGGAGCATCTGTCCTAGTCACCATGTCAGTATGAAACAAAGAAACCTGAGTTACAGTATCCTCTTAAAATCCACTAAAATAGGAGACACTGATTATATCAATCTTTTCCCTGTCCTCTCTACATGTAGGAAGATATCGCTACAATATATATTGTATTGTTGCGACTATGTTGCAATAAACAATGTTGCGAGAATGTGGCGAGAAACAATGTTGCTATTATGTTGTGAGAAACAATGTTGTGAGAATGTTGCTAAAAATAATGTTGCCAGAAAAGCCCAAGAATGTTGGGAGACCAGTCCAGTACAAGCACGTTTCCCAGGCTGGTAGGGAAGGGTCATCCTTGGCTCTGGGTCATCTCTGTGGCTCTGTCACTTGGCAGCCTCAGGCTGTTCTCGCCATCCAGTGATAGCCTGGACACCCTGCCCCTCATATCCAGCTCCCTGGTGCCTCCAGCGGGCTTGTTCAGGGACTGAGATGGTGGCACTTGGGAGGGGAAGGGCACTGGGGTTTGGCAAAGCCTGCTGTGAAGAGCTGGTAGTGGCACTGGGTGTAGGGGACCCATCTTTGCAGAGTTTACAGGGGGGGAAGGCTCGGTCCTCTGCAGAGGCTGGCAGGTTCTCCTTTCAGGTCGGTGCAATACGTGTCTGCTGAACAGGTCGTGAAAGCTTGGATGGCCACTGCGCACACTGAACATATTTTGTAACTAGAGCAATCTTCATCGGGAAAGGCATCTACCACCATCAGCAATGTGCTGGTCATGCTAAATTTTATCAGTGGGTATAATTATAGCATCTATTTTACCGTGACTAACTTTTGAAGAGCCCCTCGAGCTCTTTAGCAATCATGTGATAGATCACGTTTACTGCAGCATGATCAAAGAGAGCTGAGCTCACTTTTGTAGCTCACTGTGTTTCCATTTAAGACATAAGAGTCCATTTCACCATTTACAGTCTTACTTAATGCCGCAGTCAGTCTCTGCTTGAGCCTGGAAGGTTTTAGATTGCATGTTTGTTCAAGTTTTGCCTTTCCTCTGTGAGTCAGAGATTTTATCCATTAAAAAACTGAAGCACTGCAGCACTTGGTGCCTGGCCCCAGACTACAATCCAAAACACAAGGTACCATGTGTGTTCTTCTCCCAGAATCATCTACCGCTCATCCAAAACAGAAGCAAAGGGCACCTCTTCCAGCTGCTCATCTCCAGTGCTGGGAGGCAGGTGATCTGAAGGCTGGCATCGGAGCACAGGCCTCTTTTCACTGGTGCTGTGCTCCGCCTCCATGTTGGAGGATGAAGTGCTTCATCGGGAGCCTGGGGCTGGCACTAGGCAGCTGCGATGCCCAGCACCACCAGCACCAGCACCAGCACCACCAGCACCACCAGCACCAGCACCAGCACCACCAGCACCAGCACCACCAGCACCACCAGCACCAGCACCAGCACAACCAGCACCAGCACCAGCACCACCAGCACCAGCACCACCAGCACCACCAGCACCAGCACCAGCACAACCAGCACCAGCACCAGCACCACCAGCACCAGCACAACCAGCACCACCAGCAGCAGCACCAGCAGCAGCGGCATCAGCACCACCAGCACCAGCACCAGCACCACCAGCACCAGCACAACCAGCACCAGCACCAACAGCAGCACAACCAGCACCAGCACCAGCAGCAGCACAACCAGCACCAGCACCACCAGCAGCACAACCAGCACCAGCACCAGCAGCAGCAGCACCAGCAGCAGCGGTGGCCACAACAGGCTACACATCACCAGAGCCCCAGGGAAGGGAGAACCAGCGCCTGGGTTTTAGGCACTTGCAGGATGAGATCAGCATTTAGCAGAGAGGGGCACTGGGGTTAAGTTTTGGACTTAGCTGCCTAAAGTCTGCTGAAATCCAGATTTAGACAGATTGTTTTCTTTTGTTTTGTTTGCCCTTTCTCTTCAGTGAGCAGCAGCAGAGATTGTTTGAGTTTTTTAAGAGAATGTCATGTGGTGAATAAATTGTCTTCGTTCTTCAGAAGCGGCTTTCCCTCACGGCTAGACTATCTCCAGGTATTAGAGTGGGGTTCACTGTCAGGGTCCTATCATAAGCTCATATAAGGATTTCCTCTCCTACTGTGGTGTAGGAAGGGAAGAAGTACCTTGCTGTGCAGTCTCCTTTGTGAAAACACTTCCACCACTGGAATAATCATTCATTCTAAATAGCAGGACTCCAGCATTTCAACTACAGCAGGG